CTTAGCTTGGCTGTGTAAAAGGCTGTCTTTGTGACTGATAATTATTTCTATTCATTAAAATTATGCAGTCTAAGTGTCATCTTTTTGATTATCCACAGTTATATTTGTACCCAACAAGTATAAAACACACCACCAAAGGGCTGTGGAAAGAACTCACAGCTGTTCTTATTAGGGAGTTAAGTAAAGGCACTCAACAATGCTATGGGCAGGAACAAGTCATTTATTGTCAATGGCTCTACCTGCTGTGTTAAGTCTGGCTCCCCCACAATGTCTGGAGACTTGGCCTTGTAAAGTGGCTTCCCAACAATGTCTAGTGGGTAGACTTACTAAAATCTAGTTGTTACTGCTGTACATTCCCACAAACCTCTTCAGTGGTGGAAGGAAATGGAAGGGTGAAAATGATTTAATTACATTTTAATTAAAAATTATTAAAGCAGCCCTGCATTTAAACCCAGAGGCAATTTATGGTTAAAAATAGTCTGTAAAAATAAAAAGGCAACAGTAGGAATATCTGTTTGTATCTGAAAATGATTTAAGTTTTAGCAAAGTTGATTTTGTCAGTGAAATATAATTGTAGTAAGTAATGCCAAACATATACTCATACACATAAGAATACAATTTGTGAGAGACATCAACAGTAAACCGTATCATAGCAAAGGAAACAATAGATGTGTAGGCTACTTTTAAAACTTTGGAACCTAACGGCAAAAAAGAATTAAAGATGACAGATATCACATAATGACCAAAGGTAAAATCTGTTTGTAGATAGAGATAAACCAGGGGAGAGAAATAGCCCAGTGAACAGTGCTGCAAGGCAATAATTCAGGGATGTTAGTGATGTGGAGAAAGAGAACACTGATCTTAAGATACCTGGTTTTGGGGAATGCCTGTTAAGTTACGCATCCTTGATCAGAGATTTATCATGCAGGCCAGTTATTGAATCCTGAGCCATTAAGGGCCTTACAAGAGTTACTTAGTTTAGTGTAGCTTTCTTTTAGCAGGAGTCATTCTCTATTACATTGGTATTAAGGCCAAATCCTGATTGACACAGTGGGTTGGTAAAAACCTTCTTATGTTTGCATCATTTTAAATTATTTTTGAGTTTAAAAGATGGTGGTGTATGCCTTTAATCCCAGGACTCGGGATGCAGAGGCAGGTAGATCTCTGTGAGTTCGAGGCCAGCCTGTTCTACAAAGCTACACATAGAAACCATGTCTGAAAAAAACCAAAACAAACAAACAAACAAAAACCAAAAATCACAAACAAAACATTTCTGATGTTTAAGTACTGAATAGTGTGTGTTTGTTTATGGAAGAGGTTAATCACTTTCATTCTTACTAAATAATGTTAATTAGGCTTCAGAAATGCTTTTTTAATGATTATATTTAATATAGAGTTTAATGTTCAGTTTAATGTTCAGTCAATAGTCAGATGAGACCTTGAGTCTCAAAAAAAAAAAAATTCCTCGACTTGTGGGTAGTTTTTCTATGCTAGAAATGAGAAATAAGTTTAATTGTTTTAGATTTATTAGGGATTCTTATGAATTATTGTGCTTTCTGTTCCAAATTTGTTTTTTACCTTCCTCCCTTCCTTTCCTCCCTCCCTTCCCTCCCTCCCTTCCTTTCCCCCTCCCTCCCTTCCTTCTTGGTCTTTTGAGGCAGGGGTTCTCTTTGTAACAGTCCTGACTGTCCTGAAAATAGCTTTGTAGACCAGGCTGGTGTCGAACTCACAGAGATCTACCTGCCTCTGCTTCCCAAGTGCTGGGATAAAAGGCATGTGCCACTACTGCCTGATGAACAAATTTGTATTTTTTTATGAATATGTTTAGAATTCAGTTAACCATAGTTGATCTAGCACAGGCTCCAATCTTTGTGGCTCTACAGTGAATTTTATAAGGGGTACCTGTTGGAAGTGTCAGTCACCAAAACAGTTGCTCTTTTCCGCCTTTGAAGATGTATAGAGTTCCTAGTAAGCTTTTGCAGGTTGGGAGCATCTCACTTCTTAACCTCTTCTTTATAGGCCTTCCTTGATAGGCTTGTTGGCATGCTTGTATACATTGCTGGAAGAGTGAGGGGTCACAGTGTGAACTCTGTCATTAGTCCACCAGGGACTACTTTGCAGCTTGTGAACCTCTCTGAACCTCATAACCCAATACATCTAAATAGATTATTACCTTGTCTAGAGCACAGTAAGCCCTCAGTAAACATGAGGCCATCTCTGCTTATGTTACTGTACTTTGGAATAATGAGGATTAAATGCTGAGTAAAGAGGAATTTTGGCTAATTCACTCAGCATGCTACCTGGCATGTTGCAATGTTCACAGCATCCTATTCCTTGTGAATTGCTAACAAGTATATGATTGTATTGCTGTAATAAAGCTTTCCGTATATCTCTGACTAGAAGAATGTATATCTAGGTTAATATGTTCTGGGATGGGGTTTTAGAATTATTTTTGTACAATAGCACATGTGTAAACTCAACTGCTCATCTAATTGTACAGATGCTGTTGACTGAGTACTTGGATATGAAAAACACACGTACTGCGTCAGAACCATCAGCTCAACTAAGCTATGCCAGCACTGGACGAGAGTTCGCAGCATTTTTTGCCAAGAAGAAACCACAAAGGCCAAAGAATTCTCTTTTCAAGTAAGTATCAGACTGTCAGAGAGATAGGATAGCAAGCTTTGAAGAGTCAGTTTGTATATCATCCACAGCTATACATTTCCTAGCTGAAGTTGCCTTGAAACATTTGTAGGAAATGAACATATCCTGTTTTGTTTCCTGTTGCCTTCTGTCAGGTTGAGTGACTGTTTTGGAATGGCTATTAGACTATATAACTACATTTTAAGCTTGTTTCTGGAGAGTTTTTCTACAAAATTAAGGAAAGTGAAAATTCCCAGGTGTTTCTGGAGAATTTTATAGGAAATTAAATATGTCATCCCTGAAAAATTCCAAGTGCCAAGAAATAATGGTTATTAATAAAATTATGTACCTCTTCCTAGCTATGCAGTATTGGGCCTTATGTGGTTTGATCATTAGCAAAGGAGCCATCCACAAGTCTCAACGTTTCTCAGTTACCGTGTCAGTGAACTCTCCTAGGCCGTGTGCTCAGAGTAACAACCGTTAGCATGTATCAGCTAGGACTGATGTTGGTAATGCTAATGGCTGGTGTGATGGAATGCTTTCTACCTACAGATGTTACACACGAAGGGAGCTTATCAAATGCTTCCAACCAAGCAGTTTAATTTGATAGTAACAAAATTTCAGCCACTGTAGCAACAATGCTGAGTCTTTGTTCCTTTCTTAGTGCTATAAATATAAAAGTCCTTACCAATAAGAACTAATTAATATATGAGAGAAATTAAGTAAACTATGGGAAATAACAGCTAGCAAGTGGTAGTGAGGATACAAACAAGAATACTCTTACTCTGGAATCCAGTTCTTGTTGAAAATAAAAAGCCTTAACTGAGAAATCACAGTAGCCTGTAGAGGCAGCGTTTTTTTTTTTTTTTCCCCCCACAGAGATAGATACTCAAATAAGGACATTAAAAACAACATTCAAAGTACATTTGCCAAGCGCCTGTGTGCTTGTGGCCTGAGTTTCGTTATATCCGTATTCTGTTCTCATCCCTGAATTTGAATGATGATCTTCATAAACCATCACACCTTTTTATTTGGAAAAAGGAAAAAAAATTAAAAGAAACAAGCACATTGTATATAGTTTATTTATTTCGTATTTTCATAATTCTTAAATTCTTGAAATTTGCTTACTCTTTGAACTTGATTATAATTATAAATGTAACTTTAAACATCATAAAACATAGATTGCAGTATATGTATGTGTGTGTATGTATATGTATGTGTGTATGTATACACCTCCCTCCCCATGCTTAAGTCATTTCAGTGTCTTTCTTTCTTTTTGGCCTTGTACTCCTGTTTTGGGTACATATTATTTTAGTTTTCTTATGTCACTCAGTCTGTTTCTTTTTCCTTTCCTCTGTAGTCCTCCCTCCTTTGAAAGTTACATTTACCCTTTGCTCTATATACTTTTTCTTTTTGTGATGAGCGCTTAATACCAAAAGCAAATTTTGAAGGAAGGGGCATATTTGACTTCAACTCCACTTTAGTTCATTATTGAGGATGTTAGGGCAGAAAATGAAGCCAGAACTATGGAAGAACAGGATAACACTACTAACTGATTTGTTCTCTCCTTCTGGGTTTCTTACCCAACTTTTTAATACAGTGTAGGCATACTAGGCATGGTAATTTCCACAGCTGGCTGAGCCTTCCTACAATAATTAGCATTCCAGAAAATGTGCCAAAGGCCCATATATGATCAAGGTTCTTCTTCATTAACATTCTCTTTCCCCAGGTTTGTGTCTTATTGACAGCAAAAACTAACCAGTATACCCCGCTGAGCTTATTGCAGAAAGCAGACTTCAGGGTTTTAAGATGTCACACTCTCAACCATCACTGTCTTCGGCCTCAGTCTTTTAGCATTGGCTAAATTGTGATATAGGGGTGGGAGTGGGTGGGTGGGAAAGCCCCTAATCATTAGAAATGAAAAAGAGTTAATTTAAATAATTGTTATACATTTATTATTATTGGTTAGTAATAAAACTCATCCTTGTCCCAGAACTGGACAGTTATATAGATCTGCTCACTTTTAGAATGCTTTAATTAATTAGCCATGTAGGCCTGAGTAGGTCTCATTTCTGAGCATGCCTCAGTGCCTTTGGCTATAAAATAAGGAGGTGAGACTGAAGAATCTCTTAAGCCTCTTTTAGTATAGAATTATCTCAATCTGTGACTTGTTGCAAGCATAAAGGGAATTCATGAATAGCAAGTCTATCAAGTCATAAAGGACTCAGATTGTGGAGAGCTGTAATCTGTTTCTAGCGAATCTGTGAAGGACTTTATTACCCTCCTTAATTGCTTTTAGCCAAGGTTAATTGTGTTTAAGTTCTCTCTTATTGTACATCTTGTGCTTTTTATTCTTTGCTTGAGAGTTTGTTTTTTTTCCTTTGCCATCTCTGATCAATAGCTGTCAGCATGCTTTTTGGAGGTCAGTGGCTTCTTTTCTGCACTTGACTGGCAGGTGGCACTTTTTAAGTACTGTACACGTTGCCTTCCTTCCGGCTCTTTGTGCCTCTTAGTTCCTGGTAGGGTGTAGAGAGCAGATCAAGCAACTGAAGTATTTCCTTCACAGACTGATACTCGTCTTGGTATTCATCTCCCTTGTAAGGACTGGATAAAAGAGACATGATTAGGAAAATGATGCTCCTTTCTTGTTGCCAGTCACTGAGCCCGTGGACTCTGTTGCTCTCTTCCTATGTTGTTGACCTTTTAGTGGCTAAGTTCTTAGAAGGATTCTTTCTTTTGTCAGCTTCTTATCCTGGCTTTGAAAGTCTCAGATTTAAAATAGAATCTTTTACTCATCAAAGGATTTGCTATTTGATATAGTCTTAATTTTACTTCATTTTATTCTTACCTATAAGCTATTCTTTATGAATAATTTGTTTTGTGTTCCTTGTTTCAGCTTTTAGAGACCCATTCTTTACCACAGTTTGTTTCCCATCTTTCTGACCTTTGAATAATTCCTGGAGAATATTTTATGTGGTGCTAAGTGGCAGTCCAAAAACTAGCAGCCATTTGGAAACAGTCTTTTTAGGATATTTAGAAAGGGACCAACAATGTTTTGATTTTTTTTTCATTTTAAATTTATTTTACATATCAACCACAGTTTTCCTTCCCTCAACTACTCCCGATTCCTTCCCCTACCTCCCCCGCTCCCCAATCCACTCCACTTCTGTCTCTACTTAGATGGGGTAAGGCCTCCCATGGGAATCAAGAAGGCATGGCACATGAAATGCCTTGCTTTTTTGATGTCACTGTTCATTTGTAGAATCTCCCATGCACTAGTCTTTTTAACTCAGAACTTCAGGAAGAGAACTGCCCAAAAGAGCCAGTATGTTTGCTGAGGCAGCCAGTATTCAATGATGGGTTTTGATTTGGGTAATAGCATAATTAGAATGACTTTTTAGGGTATACTTGTTGCTGTATATCTAGGCATCCTGGCAAAAAGATGACAACAACAATATCGGTAATGATGATGTGAAAGTAAACCACTTAGGAGGTAGGTCAGGATTATTCTGTGTGACATGGACAATGAGGACAAGGTTCAAATACTACTGTAGAGGAACAGTAGAAGGGATAGTGCTAATAAACCAAGGATTGGGTAGCTGTGTCTGGCTTTTTTAAGGTATATCCCAAACAGCCATAATTATAATTGTTATACACCAGGAAATGTTATACCTACCAGAACACAATAGAATAGCATATTTTTGGGGATACATAGTTAGATGCTATTCATGTGGCTTAACCATGTGTGTTGCATTTGTAGGTTTGAATCATCCTCCCATGCTATCAGCATGAGTGCCTATCTTCGAGAACAGAGAAGGGAACTCTATAGTCGGAGTGGAGAACTTCAAGGTAGGTGGTTGGACTTCTCTAGAAAAAATCAGTTTTCTGGAGGACAATCTGCAATGTGTGTAGCATGTGAGCTTGTGTCCTACATCCACGGAATTCTTCTTAGGTAGTAAATAGTAACAAACTGGTAATCCTGTTCCAATATTATCCCCCAACACTTGCTGTCAAGCTTCTAAAACTAATACTATGCCTACAAGGAATGCATTGCCATTGGGGTAGAAATTCTAAACAGATGAGATGAAGTCTGCTTGAGTCCAGTCCCAGTTAAGGAGGATGCTAGTCTTTTATGGTATCCTCTCAGGTTGGCATTGGCTTATTGTTTTTGAGTATGGCAAAAAAGTGGAGTATGGCAGGTATAAAGGGGAGGCTCAGCCTTTGTTATGTAAAGAGCACATGGATGCTTTGGATAGTGTGGTTGGTTTAAGCATTGTAAATTGATACATAGGCTACTTGGAGCCCATTTGTGGTTACTAAAGAGTTTGAAAATAAATTATAATGTAAATAAAAGAAAAATCGAGTTGATGACATTTCCTTTAGTGACAAAAACATAGATACTATCTTAGGTTTCTCTTAGGGTATCTTTTTCTGTGAAGAGACACCATGACCAGGGTAATTCCTCCTCCTCCTCCTCCTCTTCCTCCTCCTGCTCCTCCTCCTCCTCCTCCTCCTCTTCTTTTGTTTTTTTCGAGACAGGGTTTCTCTGTGGCTTTGGCGCCTGTACTGGAACTACCTCTTGTAGACCAGATTGGTCTTGAACCCACAGAGATCTGCTTGCCTCTGCCTCCTGAGTGCTGGGACTAAAGGCTTGGGCCACCACAGCCCAGCTGACCATGGTAACTGTTATAAAGGAAAACACTTAATTGGGGTTGGCTTGCAGGTTCAGAGATTTAGTTCATTATCATCATGGTGGGAAGCATGGAGGTGCACAGGCAGATTTGGTGCTGGAGAAGGAATTGAGAGTTCTACATCTGGATGAGCAGGCAGCAAGAAGAGAGTGACACTGGGCCTGGCTTGAGCATCTGAAACCCTGAGCCCACCTTCAGTGACATACCTACTTCAACAAGGTCATGTCTCCTAATTCCTGTCTGGTAGTGCCATTCCCTAATGACCAAGCATTCAGATATCAAATATATGATCCTATGGGGCCATTCCTATTTGAACTACCACACTAACCATGGTAAATGTAGCCTATGAAGAAAGATTTGTCACGGTCTCCTAAGCATTGTAGGTACTGGGAGAAACATAAGTCAAATTGAAAAAATTTTAAGATGGAGTGTTAAGGTCCAGGTAAGATAGTGAGACATGTGTGCACCACCACATCGGTGCATTCTTTATGAAGTTGTATCTGTACTGAACATGTATACGGCTCTGTTGTAATGACCTAAGTGCTACAATAGGGCATTTATATTATAATAGGTTTTATAAAATTAAGATTAATTAAAATAACAATAGATGTTTGTAAGCCATGTGTAGAGTATAGATCTCATATTATTTTATGTAAGAGATTTGAACATCTGTGGATATTGTTTTCCATGAGGATGACCATACACATACCCTAAACAGACACCTTAACAATAGTATGGGGACACACATACTAGGTAGATTACACAAATAGAATTGCTAGAGGAGTTAAGAGAATGGAATGATTGCTTTAGATCTCTGGACTTTAATAGAGATAGATGTGAAGATTTTACAGTCTTTGATGCACTGAACTACTTTAATTATTCTGCTGGGACTAGCCCACACAGTTACTTAGTTGGTCAGACTCATCATACTTCTTCCTTAGAACACTGGGTAGTAACCAGTCAGCCTTTCAGGGTTTTAAGACTATTGCCTAGTAATCCCGTCTTCACCTCCATTTCCAACCTGTTAACTTGTAATTTTTTCAAAAACCTTGCTGTGTTCTCCCATATTTTATCACAGTAAATGTTCCAAGAGTATACTAGCCAGAAGTAAAAGTCTAGAAATAAGTTCTGTGTGTTAGAATGAGATTGGCATAGCAACATTTATTGATTATTAAGGTGTTAAGTATCCTGATATGCTTTCTGGAGTATAGGGCAGGTAGGATGGAGAACAAAAGCAGAAGTGATCCCTTCTGTCATGCAGGGAGTGGAGGACAAGGCTGATACCATCTCTGGAATGTAGCTGCTTCTCAGGAGAAAGGGGAAGCATACTAAAGTGTGGAATGGCATAGTGCACATGGGTTTTCAGGGCTTGGGATCCTATGTAACCTGCTCCTTTGGGACGCAGCAGGTTATGAGGGCTAGTGTGGCATTCTTCCTACAGTCCTACTTTTTTTTGTTGTGTTTAATTAATAGTTTAAATTTGCCCCCATATTTTTTCTGCATCTGCCTTACATTAAACTCTGAACAGTAACAAGTCCCCCTCAAAGTTCATTCCCAATCATTCCATTTTAAAAAAGAATGAATGAATATTTCAGAGGACAGTTTTAGAGTCACTCCAAAATTGAGTAGAAATTATAGAGCATGTATGGGAGCTCTGTCCTCAGCATAGTCTCCTCTGCTAACACCATCCCTGCTTCGTAACAGTAATCAATGGGGCAGCGGTGCACCTATCTGTCACTCAGGTTCAAATGTTATTAGTCAATATGATCAGTGACTAGTGCCACATGCTATTTCTTAGACACTAAGACTAGTAAGACCTCTGTGTTAAAGCCCCATGGAGTGATTTCTCAGTTGCCCTTGTGGTCCATGATCTCTTGACAGAGTATCTGGCAATGCAGAGTAGGTCGTTCTGGGCCTAGATGCCTACATCCAACATCTAGCTCCCCACTACCTCTTTCCTTTTGTTTTTGTTTAATTCTTAATGATGATAGACATAAAACCTGCTGTGAAGAGGCTTGAAAACTTGGCTTTACTCAGTTCTCTGTCTCTTGAATACACACCCAGATTCTATTTTTCCTGTGTCATCTTTCTTAGGCTAAGTTTGGCTTGATTTCTGAGTCAACCTTAGTTGTTACTTACTCATTCTAGTCAGCTTGCTTGCCTTCTGTTCCATTCCCCAGTCTGCTTCAGACACACACACATTCTTGGGTTGTGACCCTGCTGTTTGGTGCTTCACTGGCACATCTTTCTCTCTGTGAGTGTGTCCCACAGTGCTTACTTTCCAGAGTTTAAGACAATGCTGTAAGCCCATGAGTGACATGCCGTCCGTTTCTGGTGCTTCTTACAGTGCTTGTTAGGGCAGCTGTACCCTAACCACTGACTGACTGTAGCAGAATGAATGAGGCCAGGTAAGGCTAGAGCTAGGATACAGAGATCATCCTAGCAGGTGGCCATTGATGGTGTTTATCTTTCAGGTAGGTTTACATGCTCTTTTAGTTTAAGGAGGAGGGGCCATGCCTGAGTTTTTGTCCTCTGTAGTTACCTTACCCATAAGCTTTGTTAAGTAGAGAAGTTGCTCTTGAGCTGCCAGACCCAGGAGGAAACTTCTGTAGAGGAGAAAAAAGACATAACTAAGAGATAGGAACTAGAAGAATCACTATAATCTAACTTTCCCATCCTTTAAAATGTTCGCTGAAATGCGGGACTTTCTAGCAGAAGTCTGTTGTACTAAGTGTGTTCAACAGGGTTTTAGGAGTATCTTTGGTTATGAGAGAGAAAACGTTGTTAGCAAATGTTCATGATAGCCATTAAAAAGTAGTGTGTTGTACTGGCACCTCATATTCTTGGTGAGGCCATGGATCAGCTTTTGTAAAGTTTTGATAGTATTTGGTTGAGCAGCAAAAGTTTGTCTGATGAGCGCTTTTTAACATTTCAGTAGGAAAACAAAAAGAAGAAATCACCTATTCTCTATCTAAGAATGACTGTTTCTTTTCAGTTATTCATTAATATGACTGTTCCAAGGACCACATCTTGCCCTAGACAAAGCCTAATTGAATAGTTCAGCCAAATCCTAAGAGACTGGCTACGATTTCTGTCTCTTCTTTTAAACCTCTTCTCCCAGTGGTTTGGTTCATGGGGTCAGCTTTTCCTTCTGTTATAGGGGAGTGGCAAAGAAATCAACCATAACGACCATCAAAGTGACATTAAAAAGCTCCAGTTTTACAAAGTTAAGTTCTTGCCAACATGTTTGATTTATCATGCAATTAAAAATGTTACTCAGACTAACAGTGCACTAGGGGGAAAATGAATTTAAAAATGAGATTTCTTTGGTACTATCAGCCCATCTCAGTTGGCTCTTACTGTTATGGTACAGATGGTTCATTATATAGCCTGCCGTTGGCAGTCAGGGCTAAGGAGGTGGGGGTGCTACTTCAAAGTGTGTGTGATAACAGGTGGGATCTAACTTGCGTATGTGTCTACGTTAATCATTGGCTTCCTGTTGTTCTGAGTCTCTATTGCTTCATTGTATTGCTTGTACAGCATTCTTGTAGGTAAAATGGATCTTAGTTTTAATGAATATTTATCTTGAATATAGCTTTTTAAAAATGTGTTAATGTGTAGAACACTATAATTGATGAACACATTACCTTTTGAGGGTTGAGAAAATCAAAATACTGCTGCTCGTGATCAAATAGCTTAATTTAATCACTTCAGCTGTGCCTAATTTTCTGAGATAACCAATACAGCTCTTTCAAATGCTGGCTACTCATGTAGGTCCTAGGACTATTAAGTTAGAAGTTTATACTGTGGTAAAATTAGAATAATATTGATTTAAAGTAATGTTTGACGTGTTAGCACTGAGGAGGGGGGTTGCTTCTGCTTCATGATTCTTCTGCTTTCAACTCAAGACCATTGAGCTTATGCTCCTTCAGGTCGCAGTGAGTTCCATCTTGGCAGATTCCTGTGTTCACTCTTCTGCAATTTGTAAGGTGTTCTTTCAGCCGCTGTTTGCCATTTTGACTCCTCAGGCTTTTATGAGGGCTCTCAAGAACTTGATTTCTCAGTGTTCAGACCTGGTAATTTTTTCTCTGTGCACTCTGTAACTCGCCTGAATTGCCATCAGTCCAGTGAAGGCTTTGCCTAGTGCCTAGGAATAGT